AGCACACTACTCCTTTGAGCCACAGGTGCCGCCCAAGTAAGCATATTTTTCATTAGGAAATAGAAGGAGGTTAAGCATGGTTGGAGAAAAATCTTCCTTTGGCATAAATAGCAATCATAGTTAGTAAACAAGTGTAGCAGTAGAGAAACATTTACGTGATAGATTAACAAGGACCAAGAGAGTAACTGAGTTTCTTTTTTCTTTTCTTTTTTTTTTTGAGACAGAGCCTCAGAGCTGTCCCCCTGGGTAGAGGGCTGTGGCATCACAGCTCACAGCAACCTCCAACTCCTGGGCCCAAGTGAGTCTCTTGCCTCAGCCTCCCAAGTAGCTGGGACCACAGGTGCCCGCCACAACGCCCAACTATTTTTTGGTTGCAGCCATCATTGTTTGGCGGTGGGCCCGGGCTGGGGATTCGAACCCGCCACCTTAGGTGTATGTGGCTGGCACCTTAGCCACTTGAGCCATAGGTGCCGAGCCATAACTGAGTTTCCTGAAGGAATTTTTTATTCTCAGAGAAATTGGTATCTGCTAACTTTTACTGTCTCCCTGTCTAATGGGGGAAAGAATTCTGTTGGCACGTGTCACTTGAGTAGCCGTTTACAAATCTGAATCATTTTTGATTCCTTAGCAGGGCAATGCTGATGAGTGCGTGTGTACTGTGACCTGGAGGAGAAGTGGGGCAATGTGAGAGATGGAAGGAACACCTGACTCCCACGGCAGGTTTACTCTTACTTGGTGCTAAAGCAAGTGAAACAAGCCCCTACCCATGCTGTTAATAACTGCCTTTGAAGTTTGGGCCCATTTTGTTCCAGGCACACACAAATGCCAGCAAGTAATTCTTATGTGTCCTGGGCGGGGGGGCGCATATTTCCTTTTCTTTTGATTTTCCAAAATTCACTGTTGTTCTTTCAAAACAGACCAAGGGTTTTTAAAAGGGTTAAGTAAACATTTCATTATTCTATAATACCTTATTTGAACATGAATATGTGTTTCTAGAATTAATGTGACTAGTTAACTTACACATTATCACTAGATTATCAGGCATATGTTAGTCTTTATTAGAATAAAATGAAATTTCGTAACTGAGGCTATTACTTTCTCTTTGGTACCTTACAGGGCCTACTCATCCCACTTTCCTTTCTGTCTTAACATCTTATTGGCTTCTGAATGAGGGACTATGTTCTAATAAATAGTCTTAAAACATGAAAAAAATATGGTTGCAAAGGACAAGACCTATCTGTGTCCTTAATTCATTTAGCAGGTGCAGAGTGCAAGACACAAAGCAGGAAGATCAGAAGGTTCAGTTTTCGCAGAACAGGTAGGGGTCAAAGCTGGAGAAGGGAAGACGGGGCCATGTGGGCTAGACTATGCCTAGTAGCTGCTGGCCTAGGCAAGGAAAACATGTCCCTAGGCCTCACCACAGCCACCTAACTGACCTCAGAATTCAGAGACTCAAAATCAAGAACATAAGCACACAGTCAAATTCAGCAAAGTTTAGAAATATTACAGAGGTGGCAGTTCCATAATTTTTAAACATCTGAAGTTTAACAACAGTTTTAAAACTAGTTTTATCAAAGAATACCAAAGCCACCTGAATAAAAAGGCATTTGAGTTCCTTTTTGTTTTCCTGATAAAATATTTGATTTAAGCACTTATTTTTTCTTTCTTGCTTAAAGCCAATAATTAGAGATTTT